AAAAAAAAAAAAAAAAAAATTTGCCGAATTTGGTATTTGATGCAGCGCTAAAGTGGAAATATCATTTACCCATAAACTTTCATATTCAAAATGAAGTTAGAGATAAATTCAAGAATTTAAGTTAGTGATATCAATGAATTCCATTTTAGTATGAAGACTATGGATTAATGTTCTTATGCTATGTTGCATTTGATTGAAAAATTCATTCATAAGTGTAATTTCATAAAAAATTTGAAAAAATCTTTTTCATATTTATAAGTGAATAATAACAACAATAATCTTTTTACTTCAAAAAAAATAATATTTGGCTTCTAAAGGTTCATTTCCTCCCATAATTTTAAAAAGATTGGTAGTTCTTTATATTTTTATGTAGCCCCAACACAAGGCGCCATTTTGATAACATTAAACGGACAAAAGGGAACTTGTTTTAACGATTGGAAGTTATGTTGAGAATTTAACTATCAATGTATTTTTCCTTGTGTGAATCATATTTCATAACATAATAAAAAGGGTATATTATACATATGGAATTTTTTCAAATAGTCAAAGCTCTTGTTTTTTATTTAGAAAACTTGGATCTCGTCTTTGGATTTATGTGATTGTTTGGTTTTACTTGGTTGCTTCTATTAACATTTATTTATATTTATATAGGGCTTTTTTCACTTTTAATTCGTGTCAGAAACTATTTATTTTTGATAGCTGAAAGAGTATATAAAATTTGTATAAGTTAGAGAGAATTAAGCAAAGAATCGAGAACAACAATTGCAGTTTGACATTTATTAACTCCAATGTAATGTAATTATTAAAAAAAAATTAATATAGTTAATATATTGATATGAATTTTTCACATAATATGTGTGATTTTGATTCTCACGGTCCTTTTCCCTTTCACCTAAAAAAATTTACTAGTCGATATACTCCTTCCGGTTAACTTTAATTAATTTTTTGGTATTTTTCTTGTAGTTAACAATATTTGATTTTTTGAGATATCAAGAAGGAATTAATTTTTCTAAAATTGCCTTTGTAATAAAGAATCCCGGAGTATTTATTATATTTTTAATGAATAAAATAAGGTTAATATGATCAATTTTATTATTAATTAATCTTAAAGATAATTCTTGATATGTGAAAAAAAAATCAATTAAAGTGGATCGGAGAAAGTAATATAAATTAAACATGTTGAAAAAGAGAAATAAATTGATTGGATGATTGCAACACCCATTTGTGGGATTGGAAGCAGCATAATAAATTTCTTACAATAGATATGGTTTTGAAGAAAAGAGTCATTCTTTAGTCATTCACTTTGTCAGAGAAGACTGTCACTCTCTAACAGTATTGAAAAGCTCATCTCTCTCTCTACCAAAGCACGCTTCTCGCATTTGAGAACAAAATACTCCCCCCTTTTTAGAAATATATTCGGCTGCATTTGATCTGGTTATTCAATTGACCTTTTCTTTTGAATTTCTAGAATTATAATATGCATTTTGTGGTGATATTTGATTGAAAATTTAGCTAGGTGGAAACGTTGTAGAAGAAATGCTTGAATACTGCTTCGGATTCATCGAGGTCAGTCCTAGTTTTGCAATTTAGATTACGAGCTTGTTTCGTTTTAGACGATCGTGTGGTAACTGTTCGGACGATGATTTGTGGTTCAAATATATTGTTTTTGATTTTTCTTTGTTTGTAGTATGTGAAGAAATTCTTGTGTAATTTCACCTTTTATCATCCTTGTGCGTGTATGAATTAGTAGATTTAGTGTTAAGACTGTGATACTGCAATCTATTGGAGAGCTCTATTTTTTGCTAATTTGGGCAATTGGGCTGACTTCTGCTAATACTGTCTTTATTGTCATTTCATCTAATAAAAGGACTGTTTTCATAGTATGATGTGAGGTAGATGAAGCTAAAGCTATGAGTTTTTATTTCTGTTGTGTTGGATATGGATCTGTTTATTTTACTTTTGACAAAGTATATCTGTTGATTTTATGAATTCCATGAATACTTGGACTTGAATAAAGCGGAACAAATACTGAGAGGATTCATTTATCCAACGCCAGTTAGTCTGGGATTGAGGCGTAGTGATTGATGGATATATGGTTCCACAGAAAATAGACATTTGTTATGTATCAGAAATATGTGTATTGGGTTTTTCATTTCTCTTAGGTATTAAGCTTTTGAATCTTTGCTTAAAACTATTATGTTTCTTAACGTTGGAACTCATAAAACCTGGCATACAACCATTGGAACCATAAGCACTCTATATTTTGAACATAATGTGGGTAATTTCCTTGACTCTTTCATTAAGCACCACGACCGATGATTCCTTCCGGGCCCCCCTGCCCCTCCCTTAACTGGAATAAATGCGAAGAATACGTGTGGTAATTATTGGCATGGTTTGGACGTTATCCTTTTACCTAGTCTTCTCAACTTGGTAAATGCCAATGGATCAGTATTTTTATTCCTTGCTGTGTTTCACTTACTATTTGTCACGCTTTTGTTTAGCTCATACCGACTAGCTTCATTTTGCTTACTTTTAGTCAGAGGTTCTCTTCAACTATATTGAGTTAACGACTTTGTCGTCGAACTAGGTAGACAAGAACACATATGGGATGGAGGACTGCACCAGAAGGAATTATGCAGAGAGGAGCAGAGATTAGTGTCAGTGATTCCCACAAGGTTCATTTATGGCGTCCACTGGCCTTGGCCATGGAGGAGCAGGCAGTTCTAGAAGTGCTAATGGATTCAAGAGTTCATCTAGTTCAGTCGACTGGCTGGGAAGAGAGATGCTTGAGATGCGGTTGAGAGACAGGGTGGACCATGATGATGACAGGGTGAGCTTCTAAATTTGACTGCACCAATTAGTTAATGTTTCATAGTTGACTCTACCACTAGTGGTCTTAGTCTGAGCGCTAACTAGGTTCTCTGTTAAGTTGAATAGACCATGCTTTTACTGGAGTTTTCTGGCTTTTGTTTTTCTCAGGAATAGTCAGCCTGACATTACTACTGCTTTAGTATTCATGTTAGGGCCTTAAAATGGAGGCATTTGGTCCTATGTACTTCAAGTTCATAGGCTTAAATACTTTGTGTAACACTTTGGATAGTCAGGATATGAAATGCCTAGTTAAATCAGTTCATATTAGCCTCTATATTGTATATATTCATATGAACTTGATGACAAGTTATTTTAAAGTTTAAAATTTTGATTTTAATGTTGAAATATCCTTGTAATCAAGTTGTCTCCCACCCGATGGAGTATGGACCTATCAAAAATACATATTACAGGTTTTTTTGGTTCAATGCCCCAAGAAACATGATTGTATTTTAATTTTTCCATGATAATTATAAAATAAAAAATGTAATTATAATATTAAGGGCTGAAGTCAATATTCCTACGGAATCGTCTACTGTCATCACTGTATGACTTACGCTATAACTTAATCTTCTCTAACAATCCTGGTTCCTCTACCGTCTCTCTCCTGTTCCCCCAAGCTGCACTTTCTCTCTTTTCTGCTGCCTGTGTGAGACTTCCTTCCTTTTCATTGTTTGATTAAAAAGGAAGTTTGCTTATAATGGTCTACTATACATATATATTGATTTTGTGTCTCTCAAGGATACTACTAACACTCAGCTTTAGAGCATTACAACTTCAGTGTCATTTATCTGGCAGACATCATTCTTCCTATCTTTTTGTAATAATCATGCAGGACAGCGAACCAGATATAGGGAAGGGGTATTAAGGGAGTTTTTTCCAATTAAAGTGACAATCGAAACGGGATTATTTATATTAAATTTAGAGTCGCCACTTCGGGTAATTTATGATGTCCCAAGTCACCGGTTTAAGATCCCGAGTCGAGAAAGTTTGACTCTGTTTTAATGTCTACAAAACATAGAAATTCGGGTAAAGGAATTACTGTTAACCCGGGAGAAGGTGTTAGGCACTCCCGAGTTTCGTGGTTCTAGCACGGTCGCGTTGATCATACTCGGCTTAATCAAATTATTTAATTATTGATTTTAGAACATATGTGCATTTGCCTTTTAATAGAATCATCTTAAAACAGGTCACGCGTACGTGTACCCATTGTTTGGCGCGTTCAAAAATCATGTCACGCGAACATGTCCACAATTCGAAAATGCTTTATTGTTATTAAGAAAGTTTGGCCAAAGTTGCAAGAAAGCATACTCCGGTTTTGTTTTTTAGAAATCGTAATTATGTCATGCGAACGTGTACGCAATCACGATGGTATATTAAACGTGCCTAAAGCTAACTACAAACATTTGTCATTTTAATATCTAAGTCATAAGATTAATACGAGGGCCTTGAATGATCAAATTGTGGATGGCGCACCTCGACCAATGAACTAAATTAAAATACTGGGCTATTGATAACAATTTTAGTATTAAGAGAGATTGTTCGAAGTTGCGCGAACGCATACTCCAAATTGGTTTTTAGAATCGTAATCATGTCACGCGAACGTGTACACAATAACAATTGTATTTTTTTTAACACGCGCCTAAAGGCTTTGCTGCGAGCGTTCATTTTTAATAACTAATGATAATATTTGTGAGGGCCATGGGAGATTTAATTAAAATAGCACACCTCAATCCATTTGTANCAAACGATACCCCCCCCCACCCCCCCCCCCCCAAAAAAAAAAAAAGGAAAAAAAGAAAGAAAAACAAACAAAAAAAAGTAAAAACAAAGATGGTTAAGATCACAAATTAGAGAACCTGTTATGGATAGAGTAGAGAACTTGTAGTGTTTTTTCCTGCTCGTTGTTTTATAGCCATCTTTACTCGTATGAGTATGAGTTAATACTTGTAACCTATGGGCTATGGTTACCTGTAACGTGGACCAAAAGGCCATCATATTTGTAGGCATACTGGCTTTTTGAAAATAAGTCAACATTTCAAGCTCCATAGCCCACTTGTTGACATTAGACTATTGCTTATGTCCTTTTGATTGTCTACCTTGCTTTGCTAGTTTTCATAGATGAAGCATATATATTCTTGAAACCGAGAGAAGGGCCTTAAAATTTTTGAAAATTTACCATCTAACTACTTACAGAAAATTTAAGCATTTAATGCTGGACTAGTTATCGATTTCATTCCATTTAATGTCTCACTTTATATACCTTTTTCCTTTGTTTGATTCAGATATGCAGGGCGCTGGCTTATATTCATAACTGTATTGGCATCTGTCACCGTGATATCAAGCCTCAAAATTTACTGGTGAGATGTTTCTCTATGATAGTGGATTTCTGCGTTTCTAAGTACATCTGTTACTTTTTATTTTTTCTTGTTCCGGGCCTCATTCTGGATCAAAGGCCCCCATAATCTTGACTGGATAATAGGTGTTTATTTGTTTTCTTGAATTTGTATGATTAGCTGCAACGTGCTATGTACACGTGTGATTTTGTAACTTAATAATCTAGTTGGATCACTGTACTTTTTTGTTTACAGAATAGACTTTGATATGATTCTGTATTGTATATTTAGATATCATATGGTTAAACTGAGTGAACAAAATTCCATACTTTAACTCATAGAAAGCCTTAGTAAAATTAAAACTGTATTGCAACAAGGAAGAGGAAAAGGATTGAATCGAGGAACGCCCAAGCATTTCGCATAAATGATTGCTACTGTATATTTTCAATCTTATGATGTGTGTATAATGATGTGCGATGCCTGGTAAAATACTCCAATTTTGGGAAAATTCTAAGACCATAATGAGTGAAAGTGGTAAAGGGCATTGAAGAGGTTTCTTAGCTTAAATTATTTATTAGACAAGCCAGCGATCACCCAATAGAGTAACCAAGTAACTTAGTATCTAGCAGATCAAGAATGCAAATCCGTTTAAGTTGATCTCTCTAAGAGGATATGCATTTGTACCTTTTAGACAGAGATGCACTAGCATAATCTTATGGTAAAATACTTGATTTTTTCAAGCTTAATATTGGATAGTATTATGTTACTGCCAATCTACCATTCGTCTGATTATCTTCATGATATTTTATCTTACTAAGCTGAAATACTGTTTAATACTCAGGTAAATCCACACACGCATCAGCTGAAGCTTTGTGATTTTGGAAGTGCAAAAGTTTTGGTAATTTCTCTCGCGAAGACCACTTTGCATTTAAGGGTCATGTTGCACTTGCTCCAGTTTTCTGACTTAATTCTTTGACCACTTGTTAGGTGAAAGGTGAACCCAATGTGTCATATATCTGTTCGAGATATTATCGTGCCCCTGAACTCATATTTGGTGCCACCGAATACACAACAGCTATTGATATTTGGTCTACAGGTTGTGTAATGGCTGAGTTACTTCTTGGACAGGTATATCCGTGTCTTAATTTTTTGTGCTATTCTTGGTCATATGTTGTATTATTTGTTCTAACACTTCTAACAAATCCTTTTGGTGGACAGCCATTATTTCCTGGAGAGAGTGGGGTTGACCAATTAGTAGAGATTATAAAGGTGGATTTTAGATACTTTTTATTCTTGATACTATCTTCTCCAAAGATACTGGTTGTTTTCTTTTCCATTACAATTAAGTTGGACTTTTTTCCCTCAGTAAATAGGAGAGCATGTTAATACATTATCGCTTAAGAATTCGCCAATTTCTGTACAGTATGATCATAGATTTATAACTCATATGTGATATTGGTACCTAATGTGTATACGGAAAATATTTCCGTTTTCTTAGTTCAACGGGCAATAGATAAGAAGAAGCAAAGATCTCGTACTCTGCATGTGTTGAAGTTTGTGCAACTTGCACTCATTTGCTTTTGTTCTATATTAGATATCGTTTATTCTATTTTGTTCTATACTAGATATCTTTCCTTGAGTCTATGAAGTGTCACTCATCCATTTTTTAACTTTTGAAATGACTAGCTAGTTTTAGGGTTTTTGTTGATGAACACATTAATTCATGTCTGGTGCTGGTCATGCATGTTAAAGTGCTGCTTTCTGTTTCCCCTGGAAGAGAGTGGACGGAGGGGGGTTGATTCCTCTTTGTATATAACCCTAAGAGAGTACTTTTGTGAGTGCTTTTGTTTATATGGTAGCTGCACATGTTGATGGGAAAAGATGGATTGTTATTTGCGGCCTACTTATGCAGGCAGGATTTAATCATATATTAAGTGCTGTAGAAGTGTCGCTATTTGCTGTGGACCATCTGCCTTCATAATTAATTTTTTTTTATCTTCGAATTCTATGCAGGTTTTGGGGACACCTACTAGAGAGGAGATAAAATGCATGAATCCTAACTACACCGAGTTTAAATTTCCACAAATAAAGCCACACCCATGGCACAAGGTATGCTGCATAAAGTAAAGCTGAAATTCAAACTATAAACACTTGAATATTGGTGCTCACTGCTGCACGCTTATGTGCTCGTGGTCATTTCATCACTTTTACTTTTTTCATGACACTGAAAGTCGGATATACGTAACCAGTACCATGGGGTACTTGATTTAATTCATTTTTTTTTCTGATATCAGTAATGAAGGATGGCATTAAAAATACTTTTGTTAATCAATTAAAGTTGGTCAAGGAGAGTTCTGGAAGTTGCTTATTTCTGCTTAACAAGATTAAAGTCCAAAGATGGATAATATACTTGAGCCAAAAAGAAGGGCCAATCATAGATTAAAAAAATAAGTATAGGTAACTTGAAAGCCATGCCTAAATCTGATATTTCCTTTTGGTTGTATTTGCCTCATTTTATTGCTTGTACTGGATATAGGCTGATAATCTCTAAGGAAGAGCCCCCCCCCCCAACCACCACCACCACCAAAAAAAAAAAAAACTCCCAAGCCCCAAACCTTCTTCGTGGTTACGATGGTAAAAGGCATTAAAGAATTTCTGAAAGCAAGTGGCGAATTGCTGCTTTGGAGAAACGGAGAAAAATATAGGAACGGTGGGAAACTATTTTACTGACACCCTTCTATGGTGTGGAAAGATGGGTCACTGGTAAACAGGAACTAAGAATGAGAGCAGTCTGTGTTAAAAAGTAGAACTGTTGGCAAAAGATAGTAAACATGTGGCGCTTGGATCCAGAATATCTTAGATGATGGTGGTACTTGGGTTCTCCTCCCGAATATGATACTTGAAAATCATAGTCTTTTCAAATACCATGAAGGGCATGAACATTCTTCCCATGTGTCAAAACTTATGCTATCAATTAGTCCACTGAGATGTGGACTATATTATCTTTCCATTTAACCCATGGAAACATCCTTATATATTGTCTTTTATTCCATATATTTGGATGAATTGTGCGACTTTTTTCCTGATTGTTTTCCATCATATACAGGGAGTTCATATTTCTCAGTCGCCACTTTCCCTCTGATAAAATATTTCCTCTATGCAAATCTAACTTACCTCTCAATGCATCTTGCAGGTTTTTCAGAAGCGATTGCCTCCAGAAGCAGTTGACCTGTTGTGTCGGTTTTTCCAGTATTCGCCCTATTTGAGATGCACTGCTGTAATTCTACTTTCAGTCTGAATTTATTCAATCTTATTATGTTGAGGTTTGGCTGTAGTAGCCTATTGATTTCTGCTTTGGTCATGCAGTTGGAGGCTTGTATTCATCCATTCTTTGATGAGTTGAGGGATCCTAATACCCGTCTTCCTAATGGTCGCCCTCTTCCACCACTTCTCAATTTCAAGCCGCAAGGTAATGTACAGTTTTACACCCAAAAAACAGCTATTTTGCCACATTGTAAGCATATTATGTGACCGATTTATTAGATTAGATACACCTGATTTTAAGAATTAGGCTCTGGGACTAAATAATCCTGATTCCAACTGCAACTACATGTGGGAGAGAAAAAGATGAGAGGAAGGGGCTACCTTTAGTGACTAGTTCATTTAGGACTTTGGTGACCGAAGCTTTTGTTTGTATTGACCTGAATAGAGCGAAATTCTTAGTGTGTTCACATAACTGACTGTAACTAATTTTTATTGCAGTGTAGTTGATTGATCATGATAATGTTATCTAATTTATGGGGGTGTTAACCGCAACTCTTTTTGAGTAGGTTTTTTTCCTTTTCTTTGAGAAGGCTAACCACAACTTCAATACGACATGGGCAGATTTATGCTGGTTGGCTGAGCTCTTTCTGCTCCAGCATGGATCTGACTGCTTTTGCTCTAATTATTCACCATGTAGGTTGATCCTGGGATCACTTTGCCTAGTTATGTTGCACCTACACCTCTAAGGAATGTGGTTAACATTGTTAAGAAACTAGTACCACACATGTCCAATTGTCCAACAAAAATAAATAAATCAAAATAGCTAACTTCTATCATTGATAGCTAGTCTTAACTGTTGTATTTTAATATCATTGATAGCTAGTCCTAACTGTTTTATTTTAATCTTTTGCCGGATCATGTAATAAGTCAGTGTCTATGCAACATAGCTTCGAGCATGCTTTCTGTTCATTGATGTAATACTCCAATAATACATTATTTGTATGCACGAATATCTGTCTGGTGTTTGTTTACACTTGATCACTGAAGTCATATCTTAGTAATCTGATCAGGGAGATATTGCTAATTACCAGTACTACTTGATGAAGTCTTTCTCAAAGTGCCGATTCCATGAATTTGTTTATGAAAATTGATTGCAATTAGAGTTTTACTGAAAAAGTGTGAAGAAACGGATGAAAATGGGAGTCCCTAATCTTATAACTTCAACCTTCAAAATGATGCCTGGCTTTTTTTTTTTTTCAACTCAGCAAGTGTACATAGTTATATTTCATTATTTTCTACTAGTGATTAAGCGATATAGCATTCAACAGTCTCCACTTTTCTCAGTATGTTTTGGCAACATTTTACTCGTGTATAAATATTCAATTTCTCAACCTTGAATTTTTCTCAATCTCTTTTGATGTTGACATGCTCTTTTGCAGAGCTCACTGGAATTCCTCCTGAAACTCTCCAGCGCCTCATTCCAGAACATGCTCGAAGACAGAATTTATTCATGGCTTTACGATCCTAGTGATCCTTGTTTTGCCACTGTCCCCATTTGGTTAGCATCTGTAAAATGTGGTAAAAGTGGTGGTTGCGCAACATCCATTACTGCTTGCTAAATGTTGTTTCAGATCAAGTTCACATAGCTATTAGCTTGCAATTATATGTTTGTGAGAGAGCATTTTGTATCCGTTCCCAATAACTGTTACAGATAGTGTGCATATATGACAAATCAGATTTTGTATATGTAAGGAAACGCTTTGAGGTTTAGGTTTGGATGTCGAAAAGCTGAGGATTTTTATATAACCATGAGTCTTTTGTTTTAGCACCATTTTGCTTGATGGGTAATAATACTAGTTAAGACGAAATACTTGTTTAGCATCCGTTGTTTACACCAAGCCAATGAGTGTGTGCCATTTGTTTTCTGTACGCTTTTGCTACTTAACCATGGCGTCAAAATAGCACGGGCTAGCCAGTTTTTGGACTGGTTATTCAAAAATAGCCAGCGTTTGCAAAGTCATTTAAAAATAGCTACTATTTTGCTGCAACACGGAAAGTTCCAGCATAATATACTGGAGATCGCTCCACCTGTGTATGAACTTCAGCATATTATGCTGGAACTCCAACACGCGAAAAGTTCCAGCATAATATACTGGAGATTGAAGCACCATGCTGGAGTATTTTCTGAATTTTGAACAGTGTTTTCGTTCAGATTTATCTTTATGAAAAGTGGCTAAATTTCGATTACTTATGAAACTGTTGCTATTTTTGAATGACCACTTGTAAATCTGGCTATTTTTGAATTTCTCCCAACCATGGCCAAATTATACATGCTCCTAGTATCTCAATTTATCACTTAGCCATGGTATACCAATGCGTTTTGGTGCAAGCACAGGATGTTGGTAAGCTTTCTCTGTAAGTATGTTTTTTCAGCGTTTCCTTGTCAGAGTTATTAAATGAAACACATAGCATCACATATTCACATGTCAGTTATCTGGGTTATAGAAGACCTGTTTCGGAAAATTGGATTAGTGTTTTTTGGATAATCGTATCTCGAATAGACTGCTGCTGATATTGCAAAAGCTGTTCTCATATGGCCAAGAGCAATATGTGTTTAAAAGATCTTATACCATTTGCATGTATGTATGTACATTGTTGCTCTGAGATGAAAAGTAGTACTCTTGGCATCTGAGTTACTCGGACTCGGGTGCGGGTATCCGATACGGGAACGGATCCGAATATCGGATTTGGCAAAATCTAAATTTTAAGATTCGGTGGTGCGGATCCGGATATGGATACGGGTGCGGGAATTCGGCTAATAAAAAATAGAGCTATAAAAATATTGTAAATTTTGAGAGATATTCTGTGAAAAACTTGCATGAATATTGTAGAATTCAATCTTTCATTCTCCAAGATAGAACATTATTCTTTCATTCTCCTAAATCTGTTTTATTTTTGATTTTGAGAAATCAAAATCTCAATTTTCTCCCAAATTTGTTGATGGACTCCGGCCAAAAAGTGTCCGAAGTCAGTTGACCGTATCCGGGACGTATCCCGCTCCCGCTCCCGTCCCCGTCTCGTATCGAGACGGAAACGGCACCAAAATCGAAAAGTCCGTGCAACTTAGCTTGGCATTGTCAATTTCTTATCTACGTTGTGGTTTCTTCTCACCCCTTGCTATACTCATATGGCCTGTATAGGATATGGTGGTTGTAGACACTAGCTCCCGTTTGGCCATAAAATTTGGGAGCTTATTTTCAATTTTTTTTTTAAATATTTGTTTGTTTATAGATTTTAACCATTTTTGGCAGATTTTGAAAACAAATCTACTCATAAAACAGCTCTAGAGTAGTTTTCGAAGTTTCTACTCATAAAATTTTCAAACACAATTTCAACTTTCAAAAATTATTTTTCATCTTATCTTCACAAACTCATTTTTTTTTAGTTTCTTCAACCAAATCTATATCAAAACGCTTGCTAAAATTTTGGCAGTCCCGAGGTGTATACTAACGAGTTGCCCCAATAACTTCGTTTTGCCCGGACGGTTTTCTCTAGAAGCAAGCAAGAAGAGTTTCAACAAGCGCTGGACATAAAGACAAAATCATATTGAATTGAGTAACCTCATGATTCTGGCCATGATCAAGTTGCAGATAAATATATGGTCTCTATTCACTTAAGTAGCTCTTGAGTTGCTAAGAAGTAAGAACAGACCTTCCCAGGATGCCAAAGTTGGTGTTTATTAGGCAATCATTTCTCAAAATAAGTTTTCTCCATCTATTATTATAAAGTATCACATCTTAATGATCTTATTGACTTGCAAATCACACTCATATGATGAGAGAATATGTTAATAATTAGTTGGGGTTTTAGCCCGCTTCGGTAAAGTAACGTGAATGAAATGGCATTTAGGCAATGTTTGCTACAACAAAGCACTACTATTATTTTAGTACTTTTTGTAGTAATTGAGAGCAAAAATTTCAATAACACTGTCTCAATATTCTTTATAAGCAGATACACGAATTAGCTTGAGTCGTGCTGGGTACTGTCCTAAGAAACTATTTCAGCAATGTGAAATATTTCTCCAGGAATAAACAAGCTTACCTCTATTTTATTTAGAGGATACAGGAATCAGCAAAATTAAATATTACAAACCCAGCTATTTAAAAGAGGGAACAAACAAAGTAGACTACAAATATTTTAAGGAGGAAAGAAAAGGAAGTTGAGAGGAACGAAAGAGGCAAAGCAAAATGTGCTGATACTTGATGGCTATTTTGAAGGCCTATTTACAGGTAAAAAGAGAAGCCTAGAGTATGACAAGTGTATAACACTTGTTTTCAATTTCTCATGCAAGAATGCCACATGGAAGGGCATTTGTCCAAAAATGCTACATGGAAGGACATTTGTCCAATTTTTTGGAAATATCACAACAGTTCCCCCATATATTTTCAAAAAATTCATACAAAGAGTTGTAAGATTTGCTGGATTTGTATGATCCAAATGCAATAGGTTTGGTGTCTTCTGGACTATGAACCAAACTTAGATCAATAAAATTTGACTCACAGAATTACTGGTGAAATATAATATTTCTATGAACCAATAACTCTTATTGTACATCAGAGATTTTATCAATCACATTTCGACCCCCGATAATTTTGTTGTTCAACACGGCTTTGCGCCCAATAGGCCATGCGCGTGCCTGGTTATTCATGAGAGCTCTAGAAACTAGGCTAAAATCTCATAGGAGCGGCCCACTCCACTCTCATATAGGTGAATTCATCAAGTGTATACTGCTTTTAAATACACCATTCATAAGGACTATGAATATCATTAAGAGTTATAACTCAGCCTCTCAATTAGTAGCAGTCAAACACTCTCTATTAGTGCTTCAGTGCCAATATCGACTTGTTATTACTCATATGAACCTACTTAATGGGATCTCCAATCACATAGGTTGGTTACCATCTCTATTGACAACATGTCGGCCTTAATCCCATCTCTTTTGAGGTTTGAAGAATTAATTTTCTTCCCACAGGTTTAGTCAGAGGATCGGCCAAATTTATCTCTGACTTCACATAGTCAATGGAAATTATTCCATCTCTCAACAGTTGCTTTATGACATCATGTCTCAATTTCATGTGTCTACTTTTACAATTATAAGATTTATTCTTTGCAATAGCTATTGCCGCTTGACAATCATAATGCATAGTCACAGGAGGCAATACGTCCTTTATTAAAGGGATATTAGCTAAGAAGTTTCTTAGCCACTCAGCCTCAGAACCAGCTAACTCCAGAGCTACAAACTCTGATTCCATAGTTGATCTAGCAATGATCGTCTGTTTAGCTGATTTTCACGATATTGCACCACCACCAAGGGTGAATACATAACCACTAGTGGATTTTGTCTCATCTGAATCAGAGATCCAATTTGCATCACTGTACCCTTCTAAAATAGAAGGAAATCCACTATATTGGATACCATAATTCATGGTTCCTCTCAAATATTTCATTAGTCTATCTAATGCAGACCAATGCTCTTTGTTGGGATTATGAGTATACTACTCAGCCTACACACTGCATAGGCTATATCAGGCCTTGTAAAATTTATTAAATGCATCAGACTCCCAATAATCTGAGCATATTTAGACTGAGCAAATGGGTCACCATTATTCTTTTTCAATTGAGAGTTAGCATTAAAAGGAGTGCTCACAGATGTGACATTAAAATATTCAAACTTCTTAAGAAGTCTCTCAACATAATGTTCTTGTGACAATATTATTCCATCTTCACTCCTTATAACTTTAACTCCCAATATTGTATTTACTTCACCCAGATCTTTCATATCAAAATTAGCAGACAAAAATAATTTTGTACTTTGTACAATATTTAAATTTGTACCAAATATAAGCATGTCATCAACATACACACTTATTATCACATAATCATTGTCTACCACTTTAGTATAAACACATTTATCCACCTCAACTGAAGAAAAACCATCTATCAGTAAGACTTGTTCAAATTTCTCATACCACTGCTTAGGAGCTTGTTTAAGGCCATAAAGAGATTTAATTAATTTACAAACTTTATTTTCTTGTCCAGGAATAACACAGCCTTCAGGTTGAACCATATAAATCTCTCTTCTAAATCACCATTTAGAAAAGCAGATTTCACATCCATTTGGTGGATAAAAAGCTTACAGATTGATGCTAAGGCAATTAAAATTCGAATAGAAGAAATTCTAGTTACTGGTGCAAATGTATCAAAATAATCTATATTTTGTTTTTGAGAAAAACCTTTTGCTACTAACCAAGCTTTATATTTATCTAAAGATCCATCAGGATTAAATTTCTTTTTGAAAATCCATTTACAACCAATAGGCTTTGCACCAGGAGGTAAATCAGTTAAAATCCATGTATTATTTTTCTTAATAGAATCAATTTCAACTTTTATTGCCTCTTTCCAATATTTAGCATCTGAAGAAGATATAGCTTCAAAATAATTTGATGGTTCATTATCGACGAGAAAAGTTTGAAAATCATTTCCATATGAAAAATATTCTTTCCTAGGCCTTTTACTCCTTCTCAATTCCTCATTAGAGGTAATTTCACAATTTGTTTCAACAGGTATATGAGAAATTTTATCAGATAGTGGAAAAATATGTTCAAAGAATTCTGCATTCTTTGTCTCAATTATAGTATTGCAATCAAGCACATCACTTTTTAAAACAAGAAATCTATACGCAGCACCATGTTCAGCATATCCAATAAGCATGCAATCAGCAGTTTTAGAACCTATTTTTCTCTTTTTAGGTTCAGGCAAAAGAACTTTAGCAAGACACCCCCACACTTTTAAATATTTTAAGTTAGGT